GTCATACTGATCTGCTCTTATAAAAGATCAGCAATGAGTTCTTCTCTTACTGCACATATAGTAATATTACTTTGATAATATAAGTGCAACTTAGTTATTTTTCTTACACTGTAGATTTGATACATTATTCTTTAGCATCTATCTTATAGACTGTCACTCTACAATGGTCAAGAGTAACACTTCAGCTGCAGTTCAGCTGCCATCACCACATCTCTTGATCATGGTCAAGAGTGACACTTCAGCATGATCAAGAGCAACACTTCAGCTGCAGTCCAGCTGCCATCACCACATCTCTTAATCATGGTCAAGAGCAACACTTCAGCATGGTCAAGATCAACACTTCAGCTGCAGTCCAGCTGCCATCATCACATCTCTTAATCATGATTGAGAGTGACACTCCAGCTGCAGTCCAGCTGCCATCACCACATCTCTTGATCATGGTCAAGAGCAACACTTCAGCATGATCAAGAGCAACACTTCAGCTGCAGTCCAGCTCCCATCATCACATCTCTTGACCATGATTGAGAGTGACACTCCAGCTGCAGTCCAGCTGCCATAATAAAATAGAGACAATCATGTTAATCATCAAGAAATAGTTTTTGTCAACTTTATATACTTAGTTTAATAGATTCTCACTAGTTACATTTGTGGTGTTGCTTGCATCCACATATTTCATATATATTGATTGTTTATGTAATTCCATCTCCATATGCCCTCAAATGTTGAATTTGGTTGCAAGTAATTCAAAAACCATATCAACAAGAATTCTATTCAGCTCCAGTTCTCTTACTTTGAGATTGTGTGTTGTGAGTTGGAGCATGATGCAGCTCCAGAGTACTTGATCATTTTCAACTTATTTTAAGCTTTGTTGACTTTTTGAGAATGGTTGCCTTGTCTGGATTTTGCATGAACAGCTTGTCCACCACTTCAGATACATGTGGCATTGGAGCAATTACCACAGCAGTGTTGAGACTTTCTGTGTTTTGTGTCTGCAGTAAAGATTCTGGATGTGAAGAAGACTGTGAATTCATTTTGATATTCCAAAAATTTAATCATGCATCATCATTGCTTTCATCATTCTCTTTTGATGTGTAATTGAACATATCTTCAGACTGTGCCTTCACACATGAACTTAATAAGTCTTTTGTTGCAGATTGTCCAACCATTGCTTCCATCTGACCATCATCTAATGATTCAATTTTCACAGCAGTGTGATCATTCTTCTCCATTGACTCATTTTCCTTCAGTATCTCAATCTTTTTCTCTTCAATTTTTCATCTTATGATCAAAGTGATATGATACTTGATCCTTGTTTTTTTGTCAAGAAGTATTTATCCAGAATCACATCTGCTGTTGTTGCTTCATATTTCTCTGATCTTTTTGGTAAGTAACAGAGTACTTGCTTTCCCTTTACCTTCTGCAAGCCAAGTGACAATTGTTGCCTGTCTCCAGATTGCCAGACATAATTATTAAACTGAGATATAATCATGAAATGAAATCTCTGGAACTCATTCACTTCTAGGTTTCTTTGAATTGACACAGCTGTTGTATCTGGGCCACATTGTTAGTAAATGATTTTGTCAACAGTGGAAAAAGTAAGAATGACAATGAACATACCAAGCAATAGCAATTCTTTCATTGTCATATCATCATCATCTCTAAATTGCAGAATGTATAGAAATGTTGATATCACTTCAACTTCAGATACAAATAACTTCTTTCCCTTTTCAGGACTTCTTGAAATTGATTCTTGATGCACTACCTCCACCTTTCTCTGCAGGGGTTCTATTGTTGAGAAACAAGTTGGTTGTGGCACATGTAGCCCCTTAGATTTTGGTGGGCTTAAAGGATCAATAACCTCAGCACCAGAAGGAAGGGAAAAGGTCAAAGGGGAGTGATGGTGTTTTCAATTCAATTTCTCAATTGTTTCAGTTTTAGTCTGTTTTGTTGGTGTAGCAACAATGTTTTGAATACCACATGCAGAACATTTGATCATATTTTCATCATGCTTCAAGCCAGTGATTGGGCAAAAGGGGGAATTTGCCCAAGATGTCATCTTGTCATGTTATTGCAAAGTGGTCACTATGATGATTCTCATTTTCCTGTGTGTGTGGTAGTGAACATGCAATAACAGCTTAGTAAGTTCAGTTAGCAAGAAGTTAGTTAACTAACTAATCATCCACTAAAAAACCTTCTTTTAGAGATTTTACACAATAATATATGCTAATAGTAAGAATTTATTCATTTGTATTGCAAGCTGCTGTCTGCTGTGCCATATTTTTAGGCATTCATCCAAAAGCACCATCAGGACAATTGGCCAGAATAAGTGTGGGTGATATATCTTGATGTCTGTGATTATCTATTTGCTCTTGTAGCCACATATATGCTGTCTTATGTGTGGAGTCATCAAAAAAGTCTGTTTTCAATACAACTCCTTTAGTGTAGTCATAACCAAACTGATGTAGCTTTTGATGGCACCATAATAATGTATGTGGAGGTAGATACTCATCCATATCTGAATCAGTGTGTTAGAATAGTTAACACAACATGTAGTCAAAAAGACAAAACATATCCCACTGTTCAACATCATTTTCTAATTCCTCAAGTGCTTCATCATCATATTCCAGACCATACTGTCAGACATTGGGAGATGGGTATAAATAATTTCATGTTGACTTGCCTGATACTACATGATGCCATCACAGCTGTTTTCAGATTGTATGTGAATTCCATGAATCAACAAAGAAGGCTACCTCCCATCAAATTGATGGCAGGTACAGAGTCAGAAGAGCTATCTGATCAGAAACTGAGTCCATACTGAAGCAGCCCTTCTTCTTCAGATGATGAAAATATGTCTGGTCATTCAAGCCTCAAGTTAGCTATGTTGATCACTGCTCATATATGGAAATCAAGTTGTACATACACACCATCTGAACAGCAGATTTTTGGTGAGCTGGCCCCATCATGATTTAATACACTGATTTGCAACACTGGTATCAAAGTAATAGCACTCAGAGAGAGCAATTTCACCTGTAGCTCTTCAGAGATGTCAATGTGCTGCTGCCATCAGACTTGTTTCAGTCCCTCTGTCTGATTGTATAACCACTGGCTGCTTCTTAGTGTGCTTGATTGTTGCCAAGTACTGTTTTAAACAACTGACTGCAGTGCATGCACTGATCCCAACATAAGACCATATTATATATCTGGCATATGCATCAATTGAAGTGTATATCTCAATACCAAACTCTGCCAGTTTGAAATAATCATCTACAGACCAGACATAATCTGGTCCTGATACAATATAGACCCCCCAGTGCCACTGTAGATCCTGAAGTCTGATGGCCATGAGATCAGGTGCTATTTCCTGCAGCATCCCATGTAAGTAATTTCTTCATGAGTTAAATTGTCAGTGTAAATCCCAGCAGCAGGGAAAGAGATTCTAACTGTGATATTATAGTTTCTTGCCTCTGTAGATGAGTGTGTAGCATTTGTTTGCCATATTCCTCAACAACACCTCTCTCTAACTCCACAACCACCTTCTCTTGAAGGTTTGCCTTCTGGGTTGTGAATGTTGCAATATCCACACATCAAGAAAGCTGAATCTGAGTTTGCAATCATCACAGTGTACAGAGCTTAATATTGTAGCTCTCATCATTTAATGCACTAAGAATCTCTTTATCTGTTAACTGAATGTTACAGTAAAGATGGTGTATATGAGCATGTAAATTCATTTGTAGCTGTGAATTGGAGTGCACATAGTCAGAATTCTTCTTCACTCCCCATGACTGAAAACAACTCCAGAGCATCCACAGAGTGACTCTAATATCATGCTGTTGAAGAAGATAATGTACCAAGTCCTCAGAACTATGCCCACTCTGAAAAAGATTAATTAATTCTGTGCGGTATGGTTCAATATTTATTGACCGTCGTGGCATTTTCATTCAGAACTGGAAAATTTTTGACAAAAGATCAGTGAGTCTTAAGTTGTAGTTAATTAAAATCTGAATGAGGAAAAAAATATTAGTAATCATCTGTAATCTTCAGACCAATTATTCAGGTTGACTGTTGACAATTCATCTTACACTGATTGTCATCAATCTGTTGAGCAATGTTCTTGACACTACACTTTTCACTGCACTTTTACATACAAGTAACATTTGAGTCTTTGACCTGTCCATTCAACATTGAATTCAAACACATTCAACTGTAGTTGTTGAATGATTGCTGTTGTGCCTAGACACCTCATGCATTAAATGACAATGACAATATCATGTGTAATGTCTACTTTCTACATTCAACTGCCTCTGATCAAGCTTCTTGCCAATCCCCATTTAACATGACAGAGTAGCAATAGAAGTTGGTATTGATGTCCTCCACTCAAAGCATGACATCTTTCACTTCACACTTTCAAGAGCAGCACCAAATCATAACCACATTCCAGCTGCAGTTCAGTCACAGTCACTTCATCTCACTCTCAACTGTGATCAAGCCCATGCTTGTCAGTTCATTAAAATTTAAAGGCTTTCTAGCACACATAATTCCATAGAGCATAGGAAAGAGCTCAAAGATGACAAGAAAGATGACATTTCATTCAACTCAGAATCATCATGTATGTTTCCTGGAGAGACTGTGTTGGAACATTTTCTTTGTGTAATGATACTTAGTTTCACCCCAGTCTTCTTATGCCCTACATTATTAGTGGCCTTGCATTTATGCCAATGCATAACCCAGGGTGGGCCTGTTACACAAGCCACTGATATAGCAATATCAGTTGAACTTATGCCAGAAGTACAATGATGTTCTGAATGAATGCCTTCATGTGATGCAGATTCTGATAGTCTCAATTGTTTCTGAACCATTGTCTGTGGTCTGCATAATCTTGTTCAGAGACATTGCTTTTGTGGTTGATATCTTGATATCATACAAGGTGTAGTAGGTAAGGTGTGTTCTTTGAGACTAACATTGTCAGGACTTGGTGAAACTGATCAAATGCTGCAAACTGGGTTTGCAGCTTGGTGACAGAATCCAATTTCTGTATGTGGTATATTGAATGAAACACTGAGATTTGACAAAGTGTGTGCCTGGTCATATTTCCCTGATGAGTTGGCAGCTGATGGTAACTCCAGCATTTCCACATTCAATTCTTCACTGAAGCAGTTATTATCTGGCTCATGAGATACAACAGCAATCTGGTCAGAGTCACTGAACCATGATTGACTGACAGATTGACTCTTGGGCAAAGACTGTGAAATATCAGCACTCTGAGATGCATGGTTGCTGTCTTGAGAGTTTTTGACTGAAGAGTTTGTCAACAGTGATTGATAAAATTCTGTTTCCAGATTGCCCATTAGTGAAAAATATTACAAAAATGATGAGAAGCTTTACATATGCAAAGAAGTCTGGAGCATATGAAGAGATCAACAGCCTGATCCACTAGAAGAAAACAGGTCTCCATGGTGCTTAATATGTTGTTGTAAATTACAGATACTCATAAATGTCTAAAGCATTGATCAGTGAAATGACAATGCTATTCATATTAATTGACACCTACTGTCACTGCACCTTTTGCCATGCAACAATACCTCTCAAGTAAATACACAACATACTGGCCATTTTTCTATAAAATCAATTAATGTCAAAGCCAATAGATGCATGATATAGATGTTGTGTTGACTGACATCAACATCATAAGCAGATAATTGTAAATCATTTTTACAGATCTGACAGTAGTGTTTGTATCCCTTCTATATATCTTCATTTCAGTATGAACATTGAAATTAAAATATCAGCTATACATACTGAATCTCAAATAAGTTTTGAACTCATTGTTTCTGCTGAGAGGGTGCAGAACATTACAGTTCTGCTCAAGACCATCTGAAATCAGTCTTGGGGATTGCTGCAGAGTTTTTCCCCATCCCTTGCAAGCATACTTAGACTGCAATTGAATGCTAGAGAATGACTCAGCAGCAACCATCAGACTGGCCTATCTGTATGATAACTTAAATTAGAGGTATAGAACCCAATTGTTAATCATGAAGAAAGTATCTTGACTCTGATTAATCATTCACTTCATTTTGAAACAATCATTCAGTGCTACAGTACTTTTTCTGGACCCACACTATCTTTATTACTGAAAAGAAATGGCTCTACTCTGTACAGAGTACATTGCACAAATAAACTACTCCATACTCTGTAGACACTTCTTCTTGCAACAATGCATGGCTCATCATGTGGCAGGTGTATTCCATAGAGAGAATGCATGTCAAAGTGGACTAAGAGATAAGACCAAACATAGAAAGAAGACATTTAGACAGCAGTGATGGTGGAGTACATGGTCAAAAGATGTGATGATGGCAGCTGAACTGCAGCTGGAGTGTTGCTCTTGACCATGCTGAGATGTTGCTCTCAACCATGGTCAAGAGATGTGGTGATGGCAGCTGAACTGCAGCTGGAGTGTCACTCTTGATCATGGTCAAGATGTGTGGTGATGGCAGCTGGACTGCAGCTAAAGTGTCACTCTCAACCATGCTGAAGTGTTGCTCTCAACCATGATCAAGATGTGTGGTGATGGCAGCTGAACTGCAGCTGAAGTGTCACTCTCAACCATGCTGAAGTGTTGCTCTCAACCATGGTCAAGATGTGTGGTGATGACAGCTGGACTGCAGCTGGAGTGTTGTTCTCAATCATGATCAAGAGATGTGGTGATGGCAGCTGAACTGCAGCTGGAGTGTTGCTCTTGACCATGCTGAAGTGTTGCTCTCAATCATGGTCAAGAGATGTGGTGATGGCAGCTGAACTGCAGCTGAAGTGTTGCTCTTGATCATGGTCAAGATATGTGGTGATGGCAGCTGGACTGCAGCTGAAGTGTCACTCTCAATCATGGTCAAGAGATGTGGTGATGGCAGCTGAACTGCAGCTGAAGTGTTGCTCTTGACCATGCTGAAGTGTTGCTCTCAACCATGGTCAAAATGTGTGATGATGGCAGCTGGACTGCAGCTGAAGTGTCACTCTCAACCATGCTGAAGTGTTGCTCTCAACCATGGTCAAGATGTGTGGTGATGACAGCTGGACTGCAGCTGGAGTGTTGCTCTTGACCATGCTGAGATGTTGCTCTCAATCATGGTCAAGAGATGTGATGATGGCAGCTGGACTGCAGCTGGAGTGTCACTCTCAATCATGGTCAAGAGATGTGATGATGACAGCTGAACTGCAGCTGGAGTGTCACTCTTGATCATGCTGAAGTGTCACTTTCAATCATGGTCAAGAGATGTGGTGATGGCAGCTGAACTGCAGCTGGAGTGTCACTCTTGACCATGGTCAAGAGATGTGATGATGACAGCTGAACTGCAGCTGAAGTGTCACTCTCAATCATGCTGAAGTGTTGCTCTCAACCATGATCAAAATGTGTGGTGATGACAGCTGAACTGCAGCTGGAGTGTCACTCTCAATCATGCTGAAGTGTTGCTCTCAACCATGGTCAAGAGATGTGGTGATGGCAGCTGGACTGCAGCTGAAGTGTCACTATCTGCAGGGGGACTGCAACTGACATCTGACTTTATGACAATGTTGATCTCATCAGAAGCAAAGAGGTGCAAGAGAATTTTTTGAGCAGTTGATTTTGCTTCTTCTTCTCTCTTCTACTCTTCACTTTTCAGCATGACAGCTGCTGTGTGCATCTTGACTTGAGGATGTGTGACATTCTATTTGAATTTCACCTTGCTCTCCACTTCTCAGAATGAGCACCACCAACCTTTTAGAAAATGAGGCCTTGTTGGATGACAAGAAAAATGACAAAGACTATGATGCTGAGACAGGTGAAGTAGCTGGATGTCAAGAGAACCAAAATGATGGCTATGACAACACTAGTGATGAGAAAGAGAATGAGAACAAGAGGGACTGTGTACTGATTTAATAACTACTCTGTAGCAATCCATATCATCAATAAAAATCAGACTATGTACACTATAAAAATCAATTGATTTCTCTCAGATATCTTGAATGAGAACTTGAAGAGCTTGGTTTGCCATCCAGATTCTTTTGATCATCAACACTGTCTGGGTTGATATTCTTCTTATCAGAATCCACTGTCAATGCATCAGACAGAGAGGAATCTGAATCCTCATCCATATCCATGAAATCATCAGAAACATTGGCAGCTGCACTGCCACCAGAATTCAGAGATGTAGTTGCCTAAAGTGCATTGAAAAAAGCATCACACTGGGCCAATTTAACCCTCTTAACAGCATGCGGGCAATGTGACAGAGTTCATTTTTTTGATGGCATATCAAAACTTAATAATGTGCAGGATCTGCTTATCTCAGATGGGTCTGACATAATTGCAGTCAATTGATGGAGTTGCTTTGACTGCAATGAATTAAGACTGAGATCAGAAGGATTATCTCATGAAAAACAGATATTTTTCTGTCTCAATAATTTTGATAGTATGTCACATGTTCATTGGTTCATTGTGGATGTTAAGTCATCTTCCTCTTGTGCTTCATCTTGAACATGTTCAAGATCTTGGAACAAGATCCAGCCCATCCCAACAATTTGCACAACCATTTTTTTGGTTGAGTTGTGCTCAACAAATTGATCAAATGTATTGGCTCCAGACAATATTCATATGTGCTGCTCTTCAGTTTGCCTGAGACAATGGACATGATCTATGGCTTGAAATGTTGTATTGTAGGAAATTGCTGATTCCATCATCACAATATCTGAACACTGCTTGTGTAAGTTGAGGCCAATACTGCATGTTGAATAAGTTACCACCAGAATTTGGACTTTTGCATCAGAGTCATTGAATTCAGTGACAATCTGTGATCACTTCTTCATTGACATCCTGGCGCGCAAGGAAGCCACTTCAAAGCAAAAAACATGCAAAAAAGCCTCAACTAAGAATTGACAGGTAGAATATGCAGTAAAAATCAGAAGATGTTTGCTTTTTTGAAGAACAACATCTTGCACTATTGAGAGCAATGTAGAAAATTTGGAGATTATGTTAATCAGATATGTTGCTACTCATTGTCTTTCACATGAAATATATGGAATTCCACAGTTCTTGATCATCCAACTGAGCATTTATAGAAGACCTCCACCACATGAACATCATGTTGCAATATCAGTAGTGAGATTCTCTTCATGCTTAACACTTGTTGCTCAAAAAAGTTGTTTCAATTCAGAACACAATGAGGTCTGGTGAAGGTGGTAATAGAGACTCATATCAAAGTGGCCTTCTATCTCTTCTGCAGTTGCTGCAGTAGTGACATCACTGGCAGGCACTCTACCAGATTTGAGATTTCTCACCAGAGTTGAGTGTAATTTCACATACTCAGCAAGTTGAATATTGTTCATGACACAGTCTATTGTTCTTGTCCTGTATACAGGTATCTGTGCTCCAATTGTGATCATCCCACAACTATCATCAAGGTCCATTTGTAAACCCATGATATGATGAAGCTGAATTTTTGAAAGAATGTGTGGTAGAACAACAAATGCTGCACTTGAATCAATGGCACCATTGTGGCATATTGACATAAAAAGCTCAGAGTCAAGTATATGAAGATCCATATTATTGTTAATGTTGACATCAGCATAAACAGAAAGATCTGTGAGCTGTTGACAGTAATCAAATTCTTCACAAAGCTCTGACTTCCAAAGAATCTTGAGAATCCCTCTCATATCTGATGCACAGTTTAACATTGAAGTTGCAGTTACAACCCAAAAGTGACTTATAGATAAACATTTCACTGACTTGTGTGTTGCTGTGGATGTGATTTTGATGGCATGACCTTCATCCAAAATAACATGCTCAAATTCAAAGTCACTAGACCACTCATTTGCATTGGCACTGGCAATATCAGTGTCTTCTCAACCATGGTCAGCATCCAACTTTTTCTTAGAAAACCATTGTTTGTGCCAGGTTGAATAAGATGTGAGCATGACAGTTTTACCTGTTTTTCACTTGCTTGGGTCCAAATTTTTGAAGAACTGGAGGAGCTGGGACTGATTCTTTATGAGGTTGCACTGGTAAGGATCAGAAGTGCCACCAGAACCATTGATACCATAGTGCAAGATGAGATATAGATCACCATTGAAATATTTTTTCAGCTCATTCACCCAAGTATCAATAAGCTGGGAAGGAGCCATGATCAGGGTTGGTTTGTACAGGTCAGTGGACAGTTTGGCAGCAAGCAATATCAGATCTAGAGATTCAATTGTTTTACCCATGCCAGATTCATTCCCAAGAATGCCACCCCCAATTCAAGACAACTTCTGTTTCAACATCCAGGTGATCTCAGTCACCTGCCAGAGTTCCAGAGTGACATCAGCAACTAGAGGCATATTGGGATCCAGACCTAAAATTGTGCAAGAGATGATGTAATTGGGCACAACCATGCCCACACTATTAAGTTGTATCTGGAGACTCAAAAAATCTTGATTAGATGTCATTCCAGAATCTATATCTGTAATTTTTTCAGGATGTGCAGGATTGATTCATGCAGCAACACTGATTATCTTTTGAACATCAGTAATAGACTGATCAATTTCTGAAAATGAATGATCTTCTGCTGTCAATATCAATTCAGCAATCAGAGAAGCCCTGAAATGTGATCCAAATGATGAAAATAAGAGGTCTAGAGTTTCAGAGGCAAATTGTGTGTCAATGATATATGAAGAATCAACATCTTCATCCTCATCATCACTGTTGGTATCCAGTTCAATGATTGAATCAATTAAAATGCAAGCAAGTTCTTGCAGATGCTCATCTGCAGATGTCTTGACCATGGTCAAGATTGGCAGGGATGTGTCTTCATTGTTTGTATAATAATCAGAAATTCTGGTCTTGGAGTTCCATGTCTTCTGAGTTTTGCCTTCTCAGCCAGCACTAGTAGCTTTCAACCAATATTTAATTAAATATAAAACACAGTGAATATCTTCATTATCATTACTTAAAAATTTGTCAGTGTTCTTCAATATCAGTTGGTGTATTGTCACCATTCAACAAACAATGGGAGAATTCTTCTCATTCTGAGGAACATCAGCTAAAGAAGCATAGTTCTTCAATGTTGCACAAATAGCTGGTTCATGAAATGAGTGCATGATTGCATCAATACATACAGTCTTCTTCTTTTCATTATTGACTCCCTTCAATTCAAAAGACTTAGCATGCAAAGTTTTGAAAGGACTCAAAATTGAAGCCATCAACTCCTGTGTGAGAAATTCTTGCAGTTTCTTGGTGCAAGTGAATTCAAAATATTCAGCAAGAAGAACCAAGGAATTCTGGAAGTTCTTTGCTTTGACATAGACATCAGAAAATTGAAGAGACATGTTGTTCTAGTGGTCTCAGTTAGCTAGCAGATCTCTTGACCATGGTCAGGAGAAGCACTGGCTGACATACACAAAAAGTCTTGGCACTTATTGTTAATAAAAAGTAATTCCTGGAGTCTAGATTAGTGGATCTCTCAACCATGGTCAGGGGAAGCACTGGCTAGCACACACAAAGAATGTTCTTGATTGGTGAAAACTGTAGCTAGTGGTCTAGGTTAGTGGGTCTCTCAACCATGGTTGGGAGAAGCACTGACTAGCAAACACAAGGAACAATCTTGATTGGTGAAAATTGTAGCTTGTGGTCTAGATTAGCAGGTCTCTCAACCATGATCAGGGGAAGCACTGACTAGCACACACAAAGAATGTTCTTGATTGGTGAAAACTGTAGCTAGTGGTCTAGATTAGCAGGTCTCTCAACCATGGTCAGGGGAAGCACTGGCTGACATACACAAAAAGTCTTGGCACTTATTGTTAATAAAAAGTAATTTCTGAAGTCTAGATTAGTGGGTCTCTCAACCATGGTCAGGGGAAGCACTGGCTAGCAAACACAAAGAACATTCTTGATTGGTGAAAACTGTAGCTAGTGGTCTAGGTTAGTGGGTCTCTCAACCATGGTTGGGAGAAGCACTGACTAGCAAACACAAAGAACATTCTTGATTGGTGAAAATTGTAGCTTGTGGTCTAGATTAGCAGATCTCTCAACCATGGTCAGGGGAAGCACTGGCTAGCACACACAAAGAATGTTCTTGATTGGTGAAAATTGTAGCTAGTGGTCTAGGTTAGCAGGTCTCTTGACCATGATTGGGGGAAGCACTGGCTGACATACACAATTGTTGTTTATTGGTAGAAAATGGTAGCTACTAAGGTTGTAGGTACAGTATTAGTGCCAAGCACATTCTATGTAGAATCTATTTGATGGGATCAGTATAAATATCTTGACCATGGTCACCACTGAAAGATTAATATCATGAGCACTTACAGTATCCTGTTGGACAAAAGAATTGAACAGTTGAAAGAATGAGGAAGTCAAGAGAGTATAAACACTTTCACTGAGAGAGATAATGTGATTCTTAATGAAAGAGTGGCTGTATGAATCTCTTTTGATAGAATCCTCTAGTATACTGCTTGATCTCAGACAAGACAGTATTTTACAGACTTCAGCAACACAGACAAGCATCAGCTCTGGTATCAAATGTTTGGAACTGTTTGATGCCAAAGACTGGCCATATACATCATACAGCAGAATAGACAACACAAGTTTGGAAGAACTCTCTAGTATACTGCTTGATGTCAGACAAGAAAGTATTTTACAGACTTTGGCAACACAGGCAAGCATCAGCTCTGATATCAAATGTTTGGAACTGTTTGATGCCAAAGACTGCCTGTATACATCATACAGCAGAATAGGCAACACAAGTTTGGAAGAATCCTCTAGATACTGCTCAATCTCAAACAAGACAGTATTTTACAGACTTTGACAACACAGATAAGCATCAGCTCTGATATTAAATGTTTGGAACTGTTTGATGTCAAAGACTGATCATATACAACATACAGCAGAATAGACAACATAAGTTTGGAAGAATTCTCTAGATACTGCTCAATCTCAGACAAGACAGTATTTTACAGACTTCAGCAACACAGACAAGCATCAGCTCTGATATTAAATGTTTCAAACTGTTTGATGCCAAAGACTGACCATATACATCATACAGCAGAATAGACAACATAAGTTTGAAAGAATTCTCTAGATACTGCTCAATCTCAGACAAGACAGTATTTTACAGACTTCAGCAACACAGACAAGCATCAGCTATGATATTAAATGTTTGAAATCATTTGATGCCCAAGACTGAAACAGCTGTGAGAAACTTTAAGTGATGACTAAGAGAGCTGACTACTCACTAGTTATCAGATGACACAGAAGCACATGATGATCATGTGACTGAGTGTCTATAATATTGCATCTAGTCTGTTCCTAACAAACAAGACACAGATACTTATAGACAAACATACTATAACTGAGACTACAGAAAAAACATATGAAAAACCCCTAGCAAACCTCCATCAGTCTGATAGACAAAGATAATGAAATTGATACCATGATCAAGAAGAGAAGATGGCAAATCTACAGTTCTTTGATTTCTCATTCAGAGATCTGATCATCTGACAAGTCACCTGACTCCTCCTCAACACTAGTTAACTACTTATGAATTAATAAGCACTGGCAGAAAATTATTCTGCCAAAACTCTAAAGTCTAATTCTCATAGATGTCATGTGGCCATTCTGGTATGCTGTAGGCCTCACACATTTGATAGCTTCAATATCATTGTCCTCCTTCTCACAGTTAGTTATGTAAGTGCTATGGTCTGCTGCGCCTTGGGAACTATATAAATCCATTGGCGGACATTCCGTCAAATCATGTTCCAAGACCATACACTATGGAGTACACTCATAACCACTACGCCCTAGCCCCAGCGTAACGGCGAGGATGAGGCGAACGGGCGATGCGGCGCGAAGGCGTAGCAGTTACAACATTGTAACTGCTGGCATAAGGGACCCATGGCCTCTTCATCCAATAACAGGGTGTCCGTCCAGGTACGCATTTCTTTAGCCGCCAGGATGGAGAAAAGAATGGAGTCTCTTGCTTTCTTTCACCAACAGGTTAGGAAAACCTGGCGGGATGCTATTCTTAGCAAACGGTCTGAGAAACTTGAATCAGGTGTGGTTTAGCTATATAAACCTCTTCCTTCCCTCAAGTTGAGTCTTGTTCAATAGCTCATCCATTTCAACTTGAATATTCCCAAACACTATCTATATTGTGAGCAAGTCAATGTGCAGTAGAAGCTCATACAACAAAAGCTTAGTTAGTAGAATATACTTACTGATAACTATATAAATATATATAAATATATAAGTATATAGTTATATATAAGGTTTTGGTGAATGAGTGGGGTGAGAACAGTGATAATAGAGTTCAGAAAACAATAATATAGAAGAAGTAGTCAATGAATATTCAAAGAAGTTGTTTTATTGTTCTGTTAATTACATTTTCCAGTGGGAATTTTGGTTTTATTTATAGACTGTGAGTTTAAAGTTTGAGTTATGTAAGTTATGGCATATTTGTCTTGATTTATAAGTGTTACATCATGTGTGATGTAATGTATGATGCAGTATGATGCAGTATATTGTGCAATACTTACAATAGTTTTGTAAAAAGTATTTATACTTTTTAGAAAACTGAATTATTATATGAGGCATTTTATAAATTCTGGTTTCAGTGGCTGGTACTTTCTATAAACCAGAATATCTATGATATAGATTTATAGAAAGTTGGTATAACTGATTATAAAACTTATTAAAGTTGAATATAATGTGCAATAGTTTATTAATCTTGGAAATAAACTATGCAACATTGAATTTTATGATGTTATTGATGATGTCACATATGATGACATTTCATATGATGTAATATCATATTATGATGTAATTTGCCACCTCAATTTATTATTCTTTCCTTGATTAATAATTTATACAAGCAATACTATGGTGGTAACCTTATTGCTGTAACTCTATTAGAAAATAAAGTTTGAAATAAACTTTTATAGAATAAGGTTTGAACTAAACCAAAAAGAGTTATAGATCAAACTTTATATTTAATCAAGATTTATGTATATGACTCCATAAATGTTATAGAAGTTATACATGTTATACACATGTTATATAAGACAATATATAGTATATAAATTTGATTATATTTGAGAATGTGATATTCTCACACTTTGCTAGAAAATCAACAAGTCTAGTATGATTATTCTAACTATAAAAGAGCAATTTTAACCACCACTAGCTGATGGATGCAGAGATCAGTGACTGAGAGAGTCTATGCCTCTGGGACAAATAAGAAAGAGAGAAAAGTTGTTTTGTTTAAGTTGTGATTGAATTTATCTTTGCTGACCCCAACTGGCAAATGGTTTCGACTTTTTGGAAGTGAAAATCAGGGCCGGAGAAAATCAATAGAATATCAGAGAGGTAGAGAATTAATCAGAGAATCAGAGATATCAAACTGAATATAAAAAGATCTTGTTTTGGCTAAGTTGTGGTTGAAATTATCTTTGCTGATCTCAACTGGCAAATGGTTTTGACTTTTCGGAAGTGAAAATCGGGGCCGGAAAAAATCGATAGAATATCAGAGAGGTAGAGAATTGATCAGAGAATCAGAGATATTAAACTGAATTTAAAAAGATCTTGTTTTGGCTGAGTTGTGGTTGAAATTATCTTTGCTGATCTCAACTGGCAAATGGTTTTGACTTTTCAGAAGTGAAAATCGGGGCTGGAGAAAATTGATAGGATATCAGGAAGATAGAGAATTGATCAGAAAATCAGAGATATCAAACTGAATTTAAAAAGATTTTGTTTTGGTTGAGTTGTGATTAAATTTCTATGTTCTGCCAGAATTTTGGCTGTGTTCTGGAGTTGCACCACTTTGATGGGGTATAATAGAGTTTGGTGGAATAATTATGTAAGTTCAGACTTCAATTCAGCTTTGGTGTTGCTGGTTAAGGCTTAGTAAGCCAGGAACACAAAAACTTTTCACTATGAGAGACTGATGGAGAGCCACCAAAACTGAGTGAATTCTTAATCAGTTTGAGGATGCAAGTATTTTCCTCTTGGGTATAGATTCTTTGAGACAAATGCAATCAATTTCCAACATTTCAGAGCTGTAGTGGAGATGGTTGTGTTGTGGTGACCAGACAAAGTGCCTGAGTAGCCAAAACTGGTGACCCAGTCTTTGGTGTGAGATTTCCCACCCACCACAGTGAATTGCCAGGTGAAAATGGAGAGAATAACTAAGTGAAACAAGAGCTTTCCAATGAATATATTTTCATTAAATTTTACTTAGAATTGATGGTGTTTCATATCAAGTGCTGTGATCTGTTTAGAGAACAATAAATAGTTGGCTTCTATAGTAAACTGCATCAGAGTGTATGATCAAGCACTGAAAGTGCAAGAAATAAATAAAAACACAGATGTTGACATAAATTCTTTTCTTATATTGTGCTCAATACAGACAATGACATCACTGAAAGATGTTAGAGAATAAATTCTTATGTCAAGACTTATAATTAATACTGTCATAA